GCTGCAGGCCCCAGTGCTGCACCTCCAGCTGCTGCAGGCCCCAGTGCTGCATCTCTAGCTGCTGCAGGCCCCAGTGCTGCATCTCCAGCTGCTGCCGCCCCAGCTGCTGTGGTGGTTCTTGCTGCTGAGCACTCTGACCCACACTTTCCTGGTCTTCAGCAGTCAACACTAATGTAGCCAGTTTGTGAGCTAAATCATGGAAGGCAATTTGGAAAACTTACACACATACTGGTTCCTCTCCTGCCAGGCTGCTGTCTGTCTCTAACATTTATAGAAACTGAATTTTTCTCTGTGAGCCGTCAACTATCAACTATCATATTACCCCCATGGGAGGATTCATTCCTTGACATATCCCTTTTCTTAAATCTTGTAATTCCTACATCTTAAATAAATCTGAATTTCGCAGACCTCTGAATCTAAAGGCTTTATGTCTCCTGATTTTTCTCTTCTCAATTTCGCACCTGTGAGTGGAATGTTTGTGTCACCCATTCCATATAAAATGACTATTGCAAGGGTTTTTGGCTATATCAGCTCTGTTCCTACAACAGTCCTTGTTCTAGTCAGGGATTATAGGTTCATAGATGGTATGTCTGGTATTCTCTGCTCAAAACCTTCTTTAGGTTAACAGCAAGCTACTGGCACAAGTTATAGCAGAGTTCAACCAGGAAAATGGAGCTGGAGAACAAATACTCTGGGTTCTTGGTGGACATGTATTATTATAGAGGTGTGATGGGAATCCAGATGCATCTAGAGGTGCTCTGCTCTTTATTTTACTCTGCAATGACTTCCTTCCTGACCTAGAGAGTTCAAAGGTTCCCTAATGAGATTTTTCTGGGATAATTTTCCAACTACTTCCTATCAAACCTTTGTCTTGGGCTGTCCTGAGAGCACAATCTAAGGTCCCATGTCCCTGAACTCAGTGTCTGTGTCTGTCTCCATATTTTAAGCACAAGATGGGTACTTTCCAGGAGATAGGGTCAGTCGTTGAGTTTATTACCCATTAAAATGGTAAACCTTATAGGCCTGTTGCTGTCTCTTCAGTTTCCCAAGTAAAGTACTCAGTGTCATAGGTAATTGTTTTACCTCAGCTTTACCCCTTACCCTTATCATCTTACCACACTTTTCCTAGTCTACAAAATAATTTCCCTTTCTATTTTCATAACTTTTTTAAAAAAAGGATTCCACATATAAAACATTGATCTTTCTGAGTTCAGCTAACATTATGATCATTATTTGCATTCATTTCCCTGCAAATGCCATCATTTCTTTCTTCTTAATGATTGCATAATATTCTGTTGAGTACATATGCTACATTATCTATTTATCATCTGTTTATGGACACCTACATGGATTCCACTATTTGATTGTGGATCCTCTGTATTTATTCCATCAGACTATGGGTCTCTCTCTCTCTCTCTGTCTCTCTCTTTCTCTGTCTCTGTCTCTCTTTGTTGGCTGTGGTATTGAACTCAGGGTCTGGGCACTGTCTCTGAGCTTTTTTTTTCTATTGTGCTCAGGGCTAGTATTCTATCACTTTGAGCCACATCTTCACTTCTGGTTTTCTGGTGGTTATTTGGAGAGAAGAGTCTTACCACCTTTCTTGCCCCGGCTGGCTTTGAACTGTGATCCTGAGATCTCAACCTCCTGAGTAGCTAGGAATATACACATGAGCCACCAGCACCTGGCTCTGTTTTTATTTGTGTGTGTGTGTGTGTGTGTGTGTGTGTGTGTGTGTGTGTGTGTATGCCAGTTCTTTTTCTTTTCTTACTATGGTTCTGTAGTATAACTTGAAGCCAGGTATTTTGGTTCCAACCACAATAATCCCATGAGAAAGAAAGCACATGATAGCATGTATGCCCTAAATACCTAGTAATCAACCTAATGTGAGCTGTGAAACCCAGAAAAAAGAAATTGTGGATGACATAGAGGGTGGAAAGATATCTGATGTTCATGGATGGACAGAATTAACATGTGAAAATGTCTGTTTTACCAAAACCATCTTTAGATTCAATGTAATTTCATTGACATTTTCATTGACATTCTTCATAGAACTAGGAAAAAATCCCTAAAATTCATATTGAATTGTCTCAAATAGATGAAACAATTTTAAGCAAAGAGAGACAGCGCAAAGTTTTTTTTTCCAGTCCTGGTGCTTAAACTCAGGGTCTGGACTCTGTCCTGAGCCTCTCTGGGATCAAGGTTACTCTACCACTTGAGCCACAGGTCCACTTCTGGCTTTTTCTAAGTGGTTTACTGGAGATAAAAGTATCATGAACATTACTGCCCAGGCTGGCTTTGAACAGCAATTCTCAGATTGCAGTCTCCTGAATAGCTAGGATTACAGGCATGAGCCACTATTGCCTGGCTAGTTGTTTGCTTTTAAAGAGCAGTTCTAGAGCTTCAGGGAAAATGTTCATGGTGAGGGTGCTTTGTGTTACTGTGTTTAAGGAAATATGAGTGGAAGCTATTAGTTGGGTTGGGGAGGCTGTGTTAAGGTGAACCAATAAATGCTATGGGCAGAGGAGGTGGTATATAAACACACACAGCATGAGTTAGGACAGTTTAATAAACTAGGGATTAGGAAACTAGGCCATGTGTAACAAATTGCATTCACTAAAAGTAGAACCTGAAATAGGGATTCTTCTGCAAGTGATCTACAAGGAAATGCTCTGGGTACAATCCATTAAGACATAGAAGCAAGAGGTATACATCCATCCTAAAGGAATATTCCTAATGAGCTCAAATTCATTTGATTTCCAAGCTTCTGTAGAGTGTGAATGAAACTACCGTTTCATTCTCCTCTTAGAAGTATGGTGGCAGCACAGAAATGGAGGGACAAAGGGTGAACAAATGCAGCAGTGATACTCACTAGACACTGTGTTGAAACTGAACTATACAACTTGTGGGAGGGGAGAGAAGGGAGAAATAGGAAGTAAGGTGGCTAGCTCTTTGCGGTTTTACTCACCTATCAAGGGGCACCATCACAGGGCAGGAGGAGAGGGTCCAGAGAGAAAACATGTCTTGAGGAAACAGAGATAGCTCAGGAAAGCTACAGGGAGAGCAGAGCATGTGGACAGAGGGCGCCCCTTGCATTGGATAGTCACAGTAACTAAAGGTGCTGGGACCTTCATGATGAGAGGTACTTGGACTCTTTTATTCAAGTCACTCCATTTACCCGGTCCAAATTAACTGGAGAAAGTTGCCTAGGGAATGTCTGCTGATGGAGGTGACTTGCCTGGAAAACCCACCACCGTCACATCCTGAACGTTCTGAGCCCTTTCTTAATGGACTACAGCTGTTGTTCTTGGAAATAAGAATTCTAGGACTGCTCCAGAGGCTCCCCTCGCATTGAACATTCTCCTTTTCACCACCCACTCCTCACTTGGCAACAATCCTCCCGCTTCCTCATGAAGCTGCAACTGGGAATAACAGCTCATTACATTTCCTGCTTGTCCAATCACATGAGAAGCCCTGGAATGACAGTAGCAAGTGTCAGTCCAATGGAAGCCGTCTGGTGTCCCATGGAGTGTCCACAGCTTTGGAGCCAAAACTTTGCTTCTACAGAGCCTGGGTTTATGGGAGGGGAGTGGCGGTGGGTGGAGAGCTCAGATTCACTTAAATGGACCATGGAGCATAAAGTTGAGTAAGGCAGGACATTCTACCATGGAGAACGTTCTCTGGATACTCACAGACTGCTGTGAGTTACACAACTCCCTTCCTTAATTACCATCCCCAACTCATCCATCACACAATTAGACCCACATTAGTTTTTAGACTTTAAATGTTCTTCCTGGGTGGGTTTTATTTTCTGTAATCTTATTATCCCTGGAACCCCCAGGGGATTAATTTCTGCAATAATACTTCATACAAACTTTGGAGAACAGGCCTCATGGCATGCCTCTGTGATGCCAGTAAAACCTTTCCAACTCCTTTCTCCTCATCTCAGTAAAGACAGTGTGCTGTACCACCCAGGGAACAGTCAACGTGTTGGGGTTTCAAGCTTTATGGCTAGACCTGGGTTGCTGGCATTTCTACTTCCCTGTACCCTCTGATCATGCTTTGGTTCCCTGGTATGGTGTGCAGGACCAGAGAATTCTGAATGAGTCATCTCTTGTCATATTACCTCAAAAACCTAACAGCTTGAAACACCATACATTTATTACTTCACAGCTCCTAGGCATCGGAAATCAGGGACAGTTTTGTTGTCTCCTTCTTGTTGTCTCACTAGATCCAGTGCTAGAATCAGCTGGCGCTGGGGGTCTCAAGTGAAGGTTCCACTTTGCAGTTAGCTTCAGTCATTCCTAAGACTCTCGGTTCCTCTCACCCAACTTCAGTGAGAGGCTCCGTGCCCTGTGGGATGCTGAATGGAGACTGTGTTCAGTTCTAAATATTCTCAGCCACTGCCGAAGTGAACTTCAAATAGAAAATCAATACAGTGGAATTCTATGCACATAAAAGTTCAACGCTGGTCACCAGTGGCTAACACTTATAATCCTAGCTACTAAGAAGGCTGGAATCTGAGGATCATGGTTTAAAGCCAGCCTGGGCAGAAAAGGCTGGGAGACACTTATCTCCAATAAACCACCAGAAAACTGAAAGCGGTGCTGTGGCTCAAATGATAGGGCTCTAGCTTTGAGCAGTAGATGAATGGATCAGGAAAATGTGGTACACACACACACACACACACACACACACACACACACACACACACACACACACACACTGGAATTCTATGCTTCTATCAGGAAGAATGATACCTCCCTATTTGTTAGGAAATGGATAGACTTGGAAAAAAATCATATTAAGTGAAGTAAGCCACACCCAAAGAAATATAGGTCCCATAGTTTCCCTTGTTTGCAATAGTTAGTATATTTCTAGGAGAATATTATCAGATAAGCAGAAAAGCTCAAAAGCTATGTACATATGACCGTATAAGACGATGCTAAGTGAAATGAACCCCAAGATATGGACACAAGAGGTCTTTCTTTGTTGTTGTTGTTTTTTAAATCTACTATGTGATTTTTTTGTTTCCTTTGTATGTTCTTCCCCCTATGGTATACCCCTTGTTTTCACTGTACTTGATTTTGGTACTCTCCATCTTGTATATACATTTGTCTAATTTGGGAAACAAGGTCACAGGATGACCCATTGCAACAATGAGACTCACAAGACACTACGTTGAAATGAACTTTACAACTTCAGGGTGGGGGGAGTAGAGAGTGGGGAAGGTAGGGGAGAGAAGGGATAGTGGGAGAGCAACAAAGGAGGGGGTAACAACGCTCGATAAGAAATGTACTCATTACCTTACTCATGTGACTGTCACCCCTTTGTACAGCATCTTTACAATAAAATAAAAATGTTAAAGTTCAAGAACATGAACACACAAATACATTTCTATCATCCCTTCTATCTCTCTATATAATAAAAGAAGTACCACCGAAGTACACATCACAATTTGTGTGTCCAGCACATATGCATCATCCATCTATTTTACCAGGTCAGGAGAGATTTAGCAAGGAGTAGTGTCACTGATGACTCTCCTGGTTGAATTTTATTAAACTCAAGACTATTTTCATTAGTAATCTCCCATTATGCTTAGTTGGTTCCTTCTCTGCCCATGTGGGTTTGTTAGTTTTGATATTCAAGTGACCTGAAATAATACAAAGGGTTATCAGTACTTTAGTCTCAGAGCTCAGTGTTCAAAATTTCTACTTCAGAACCATTTTCTCTATTGTTTAGATAACTTGAATTGTAATTCAATTGTATTTGTGACTTCTCTTTTTTGGATATTGAAACAGAAGGACAGAATAAAAACAATTTTAAGAGGCTCAGCCTCAAGAGGAAAAAAAACCCACCAATATTTTACCATTTAGTTTTCCAACAGGATGTAATCTTGTGTATCCCATAAAAATCTTCCCCCCCCCAATAAAGAATTGCAGTTCTCAGCAAGGAAATGGTCATGTTCTAATGGTCCTATTGTCATATCAAGGGTTTTCCATATACACATTGTTCTTGCCCACCTGAACCAGGATGAAGGATCCTGAAGACTCACATGCAACTTTATCCTCCTGGGTCAATAAAACCATTATGGGTCTATAAGAATCACGATTCCTTAGGAGTAGACAGCACATGCTGCAAAAATTAAGATGGAAGTGTACAGCCTGAGACACAGAACATCACATGACAGCTCTCTTTGAGGAACTAAAACCAAACCAACAAAAAAAGACAATCAGGAGGTAGTGAATCCTACACAAGGAAAAGGAAATTATGTTTCCCTTCCCTGACATTTCACCAGGCAAATATAATTACTTAATTTGATAATCACAAACAATAACAAGGAAAGAATGCTGATGGCAGGCCCTTAGCAGGGTATAAAAGGGCATTACAGGCAAGGAGACTTCCAAACTTTCCAGATCATCCTCTAGAAAACCTACTAGAACCTCCATCCTCTGACACCATGGTCAGCTCCTGTTGTGGCTCATCTTGTTCTGAGCAGGGCTGCTGCCAGCCCAGCTGCCTGCAGTACACCTGCTGCAGGACCACTTGCTGCCGCCCCAGCTGCTGTGAGTCCAGCTGCTGCAGGCCCTGCTGCCAGCCTTGCTGCCGCCCTACTTGCTGCATCTCAAGCTGCTGCAGGCCTTGTTGCCAGCCCAGCTGCTGCCGCCCCAGCTGCTGCATTTCTAGCTGCTGCCGCCCCAGCTGCTGTGTGTCCAGCTGCTGCAGGCCCTGCTGCCAGTCTGTGTGCTGCCAGCCCTGCTGCCGCCCCAGCTGCTGCCGCCCTACCTGCTGCATCTCCAGCTGCTGCAGGCCTTGTTGCCAGCCCAGCTGCTGCCGCCCCAGCTGCTGCATTTCTAGCTGCTGCCGCCCCAGTTGCTGTGTGTCCAGCTGCTGCAGGCCCTGCTGCCAGCCCTGCTGTCGCCCCAGCTGCTGCAGTGGTTCTTGCTGCTGAGCAAGTTGACATGCATGTTCCTGGTCTTCAGCAGTCAGCATTCTTGATGCTGAATCATGGGAAGCCAACTGCAAAGCCTCAGTTCCCCTTGGGGTTCATGTGGACCTTTCAACACACGGCCCCTCCCCTGACAGGTGACTGTGTCCAAAAGAAACAAAAAAAATTGAATTTTCTTTGAAATCGGTCACTTTGTCATGTTACCCTCCACCCCATGGAAGTGTTTGCTCTTTAATCTTTTCTGTGCTCAAATGCTGTAATTCCTACTCATAAATAAACCTAAGTTCTGCAAGCATCCAGATATAAAGACATTGTGTCTCTTTATTTCTCCTTCTGAATTTTCCCCAGCTATGAATACACATGTATAGAAGGCACTCTGACTTATCCCCGTGACTCTCCACACTGCTCCCTTTCCTAAACTCCCACTAGGGCCATTTCTATTCCCTAGTAACTCCATCTCCACATTCATTTCTAGATAACTGAAGGACAGGAATAAAGGAACTCAGGAAGAATGTTTCACAGGGCTCCATACCTGGAATTCTTGGCTAAGGGCTTCCTCTATTGAAGAGAAAGTTCTGGGCAGGAGCCAAGGCCCCCAGGACACAGCTCCATTGGTGGAAGAGAGCCAGTGCACCCTTCTCCCACTCAGCTTCCCCTCAGTGCACGTGTGTCCATTGTGTCCCGTGTCCCAGAGGTCATCCGTGGGAATACATTGTCCTGGGTCCCCTGTTGCCCTCAATAATGTCCCAAATTTCCTACAACCTTTCCTGTGATCATTTCCCAAGAAAATTGTTCTGTCTGAACCCCCCTCTCCCTACAATGTCTGGGCTTTCTCAGAGTGTACGCAGTCCAAGAAGCCATGCTCCTCATTTCATTTTTGCCATCTTCACACAGGTTTGTTTTTTTCCCCACACAATGTGGGTGGTTGTCACTGTGTCAAAGCTGACTCTGTTTTGTTTTGTTTTAGGTGTTGTTTTTTCCCTCACTGGTGTGTTAAATCTTTGGCTGTATCTTCCTTCCCACTTTTGCACAATTGTTGTCAGACTAGCTGTGTTTAATCTTTTCGACATTGCTGTTTAACTGTCAAACACTTTGTCATCAGTGTGTAGCAATGATTGTGCAAATTAGTGTATTATGACACTTTTCATACATGTATTTCAGATAATTTGGTCACTGGTATTCTGACTTATCCTAATTTCCCACATTCATTCCTTGTCTCATTTTCCACTGATCCATTTTTCTTTTCTCACTACTAATGTCTGTTCGTTGTTTTTTGTTTTATTCTTTTTAATTCTACATATTTCTTTATTTTCTTGCACCAGCATCTCTCTTTATTTTTTTATTGTAAAGATACTGTATAGAGGGGTTACAGTTACAGGAGTAAGGTAATGAGTACATTTCTTATCAATCATTGTTACTCCCTCCTTTGTTTTTCCCCTACCATCCCTTCTCTCTCCCCCTCCCCAATTCCTTCCTCCCTCCCTCTCCCTCTCCCCACCCCACAAAATTGTAAAGTTTGTTTTCAATGTAGTGTCTTCTACGTCTCATTGTTACAATGGGTCAACCTGTATCCTTGTTTCAGCATTTTGTTATTTCCCTTCCTCTCCCCAAATTAGAAAAAAAATGTACATACATGATGCATGGCACCAGAATCCACATGATGTTTCTTAGTCTCGGAGTGGTTATTTCACTTAACAAGATGATTTCCCATTCTATGAATCTTTGGCAAAGGATTATGTATGCAATTGTGTGTATGTGTGTGTGTGTGTGTGTGCGCACGCGCAAGCATGTGTTTTATTTTTAGGTATTTTTCAAATAGACTATGGCATTTCCCCCCAGGTCAGCCTTTAATTAGTCATGATGGACTCTTATCAACTCTTAGCCCTTGAACTGCAATGCTCCCAACCTCCTGAGTTCCCACATTATAGGTGAGATACACTTTGTTCAGCTGGTTTCATTCTTCTTAACACATGAATAATATGCCGTTGAGTACATATACCTCATTTCCTTTCATTTGTTGATGGGTCCTTAGGTTGTTTATACAACATGGCTACTTATTCTTGAGATAATGATACCACTTCAATAGATAGTCACTCTTGGAGATTATAGTTTAGATTTACAGTAAGTCAGTGAATTTCATATAGGATCTCACCGTGTGTGGGGGGAGGAGTGAGTGTGTATGCACATGTATATATTCTTTTGCAACAAATATTTTAGCTGGGACTTAAAACCTCTCAAGTAGTTGCCAATTATTTCTACTTTCTGGTGTTCATAGTCTGCACAATTCTCCATACTTTACCAACTTGCTTCGAAACAACATCACATAAAATCATTAAGTGGTCAGAGACAAACATTGTGACTTTCCTCTTGATGAACATCTCTTCAGGTTAATCTCTGATGAATGTCTGTCCTGTCAGCAAGAGATCAGCACTTAGACCCTACAATCCCTGGAGCTCATCAGACAGTTGCTTGTGTCAAAAAATTATATAACAGAAAGACAAGTCACACTCTACCTACTACTCTTTGAAATAAAAAGTAGCTTCGCTCAAGCAGACCTCACATAATTTCTTGTATCGCTTGATGTTAATTATCCATAGTATTTCATGATACATAGGCAAAATTCAGTAAGGAATACAGAGATAGAGCTTCTGGTTTCAAACTTAACAGCCCACCAGCAGGTTATCGATGGCTATTTCATATTGTGCTTCATTTACTGTTGGTCCATTCTCTACCATGTGGGTCTGTTGCCTTGGCTATTAGAACAATGTAAAATAGTAAAGAGAATTATCCGTGTTTCAGTCTATAAGGATCAAAGTCCAGTTTCAAGTCAGGATTGTTTCTTCTACTCTGGTACCTAAAGATACTACCATCAAATAAAATGGAGCTATTTTTTTGTGACTTCTAGTCTCTGGATATGAAAACAGATGTACTGTGGACACTTTAAGAAAGTGGATCTCACGCTTCCCAGTCCAGTGGGAAAACCTGAGGAAATGGAAAGGCTCCTAGGGCACAGGCATTACTCCACACCAATTAAACTGCAATTGTTCTGGACAGGAGCCAGAGACGGGAAGTTTGTAATATTCCCCAGATGCTTTTTTCAGGCAGCCAACTATGTTATGCTATCTATCTATTACTCCACAATGAGACTGTCATCTTCCCTTTTGCCAGTGGGGCAAGAGCTTCCTTTAGTGCCTAAATTAATATGGAACTCTGTCCTGTAAAAATCAACAAGCCTTCCCTCTATGTCTTTAAGTTTTTCTGTGCCCCTCTTTATTGGTAAAAAAAATAACTCCACACAGAACACATCATTTTTAAAATGTCATGTTTTCAGCTTTATAAGCATAAACCTATAATCAAACAAAACATACAGATCAGAAGTGACAGAGAGACAGCAAGACAGACAGAAGGGAAATAAGCTCACAATACAGTACTGAGAGGGAACTTCAGGGTATAAGAGAGTTCTGTAGACACATTCTCACATGAGACACTAAAAATGACATATAGAGATTTGTTTCTCACAAAGAAAAACAAAGATATATCAATATTCCTCCATTCAGTTTTGTACCTAAAGGTTGGCCTATTCTTCCCATAAAACATCTAGAAAATGGATCCTGACTCACAGTGGAGGAAGGAACATGTCTTCATGGCTTTCCTGGCCCCATGCTGCTGGCCTTTCACATGCAAACCTTCTGCCCCACCTGACCTGATGAAGCACTCATTAGATTCTAGTGAGGCTTTAGCCTCCTGGGTCACCGCACACAAATATGGGCCTATAACAATCTTGAATACCTAAGAAGAGACACAATGTACCATGTAAAATGCGATTGAAACATCTCATAAAGAGACACCGGCTGTCACATGATCACATGATGGCTCTTTTTTTTTTTTTTTTTTTGGTGCTGTCCCTCAGCTCTTCAGCTCAAGGCTAGCACTCTTATCACTTGAGCCACAGTGCCATTTCCACCTTTTTCCGCTTATGTGGTGCTGAGGAATCGAACCCAGGGCCTCATGCATGCAAAGCAAGCACTCTACCACTGAGTCATCTTCCCAGCCCACATGGTGGCTCTTTGAGGAACTAGACCAAAACACACACACTTAGGAGATGATTCTCTCTGAACCGACTGGTGAATTTCAACACACCAGAAAAATAGCATCATGTTTTCCTTCCCACTTGAAAATTTTAGCAGGAAAATATAGTGACATAATTTGATAACCACCCATTTGTTAAGCCAAACAACCACAAGGAAAGAAAGCTACATGTGATGGATCACCCTTGCTCCTTAGCAGGGTATAAAAGAGCATGTGGGACAGAGAGCCTTCCAAACTGTTCAACCGTATCTCCCTGCACACCCATCCAGAACCTCCATCCTCTGACACCATGGTCAACTCCTGCTGTGACTGCACCTGTTGCCAGCCCTGCTGCTGCAGGACCACCTGCTGCCACCCAAGCTGCTGTGTGTCCAGCTGCTGCAGGACCACCTGCTGCAGGACCACCTGCTGCAGGACCACCTGCTGCCGCCCCAGCTGCTGCACTGATTCCTGCTGCTGAGCACTCTGCTCCCTCCTCCAATACTTAGGAAGCTGATATCTGCAAGCTGATCGTGGAGGCCAGCTGTAAACCTCACTTCCCACTGAGGTCTGTGTGAATCTCCAAATACTGACCCCCCCAACCCCTAGTCCTTGTCAGCTTACCATCTCTCTTCAAAATAAACCCAAGTTGGAATTTTCCATGAAATCTATCAATTACCTAGTTACCTTCTGAAATGCTGTTATTCCTACATCATCAATAAATGTGAACAAATGCAAACATAAAAGCATATGTCTCTTTCTTTTTCCTTCTTCAATTTTTACTCAGATCATTATGTAGTTCATCTCAGGGCTTTCTGGGTGTGCCAGCTTGGGTCTTTCCTATTGTTCCCTCAAAAATAGACCATGGTTGCCTAGAGCCAGAGACTTGAATGTCTGCTGACTAATGACAAGAAAGCTCTAGCCAAGAGATAAACTTCCAGAAGTAGAGCTACACTAATGACAGGAGCTGGTGAGATCTGTCCTGCTCACCTGCCCTTCAGTGCTCACGTATCCACCGTGTCCAATGTATACAGGGTGTCTGTGGGAATGTAATCCAGCTGCCCAAGAAGAACTCTCCATATGGCATTTTTGGTAGTGGATTTTCTCTCAATTATTTCCCATGTTTCCTACATCTTCTCCTGTCACCATCTCCAAGTCAACTACTTACTTCAATCTCCTGAGTCTGGTTATGCCTCATAATGCACACATTTTTTCTTATCTTAGTGTTGCTGATTTTACATACCTTTTCAAAAACAGGTGCAGTTCTCATTATCTAGGCCTCAGCTGTTGAATTCTGTGCTCATTAAACTGAGAAGTCTCCTGAACATTTTGATGTAGAACATTTCAGTTGTGTTCTTAGATCTATAGTCTTTAGTCTTTCATTGTTGTGGATCTTTAATTGTTGTTGATATTGTGTCACTGGTATATATTAATTGTGCTAATAGTAAATTTGCTTAACATGGGGGTTAAGAACCTATAACCTTAGGTTCTTTGTTGTGATTACCCATACTAATTATCTCCTTTTAGAAACTGGTTTACTTCATTCTCTAGAAATGCTTCTTTTTACTTTCATATCTTTTCTTTTTTTAAGGATTGAATGTAAGAGAACAAAATAATACTGGTCTTTCTGAGTCTATCTTATTTCATTTCACATGATAATAACCACTTCCATAAATTTTCCTATAAAGTCATGATATCATATCTTGTGAATGTCTGAATAATACTCCACTGGGCATCTCTTCCACATTTCTGTTCTATTTGCACCATCAGTGGGCCCCCAGGATGACTCCATGACTTGACTCTTGTGAATAGTCCCACAATAGATGTGAACATGCAGGTATCTCCATTCTATGTTTCCTGACACCTTTAGGTACATACATGTATGAAGGAATGCTTTAGCTGGATCATGTGTGAGTTTTATATTTATATGGTTGAGGAAATTCTATACTTACTAGTATACTGGATAAACAAAAATCACATTCCCACCAACAGTATATAGGGTCTCCTTTCTTTCCTAGGATTCTCACTAACTCTGTTAATTTTCTTGATGGTGAATCTTGATGTAGTTTTGAGCTGAAAATTGTTGCTAGTGAAATATTTTCTTGATGGTGAATCTTGATGTAGTTTTGAGCT